AGGTCGGCCTCACATGAAGATTCATCTATATATACACACTAGTGATTTTATGTTTTTTGAGGTTGGGCCTAGGCCTTCTCTGGCCTAGAGCCAGATCCGCCCCTGCCGGGCAACGCGCGATGACCACAACCTACAACTCCAGGTCTAGCGACGGCATCCCTGACGATGACAGCCAAGTCTCCGATGATGGAGGCAACACCCTGAATTCACGCCCTCCCTACGAACATGATCTATGCATGCTGATCCAAAGGAATGAAAGGAGAGAGATGGGGAAAACGTAAAAGAAAAAGAAAAGGAAAACGATAAAAGTAAAAGAAAAAGAAACGTATGCAAACCGCCACACGTGACTTAGTCGGAAAACCAGTTATTTGCTTGTCAAATCACCCAATTGGATGTTTTTAATAAGTATGAGGTTCCATCGAGTGTTTTTAAAGTACAAGCGTCTAATTGACAATTTCGATATAGTACGGAATTTATTTAATAGTTTTCCCTATAACTTTTAATAACAAAAGGGCTTGCCCTTCAACTAAAGGGGCACATACACACATCTTCTCATTATAGTTTAGAGAAATTAAAGTCATTACAACTTTTTGTTTAATTATAAAAATTATTCAATTATTAACATTAAAATCTGAAAGAAAATAAACTCTATTCATTTTGTAAAGTTTTAGGAATAATCAAATAAAGAAAGATGACAAAATTTTAAAGGACAAAGAAAATAACATTCTAAAGATGTTTCATAAGTAGCAAGTCTCAAACGGGGTCTAAAATAAAAGCAATAGCATAAATAGAGAGACTATGTGAATAGTATTATAACAACTTAAAATTCATATGCTCACAGAAGAAATTGGAATGCACATATTGGGGGGTTATAGATTTTTTAAAAGTGCTCAGCTCGCAAGATTAAGAGAAAATTGCTGCCAGTGAGATCGATTCATACAAATTTTACAAAAGTAGGATTTCTTTAGTTTTTTCCTATCTGTAATACTTATATACTCCTATTTTAAGAAACATAAATATTAGTTTCCAAATTTACCCCTTCAGATGGACGGAAGCAAGCAGCAGCGAAGACCTCCCAAATCCCCTGCACCCGCCCTCTGCAATATCGTGGTCCTGCCCCAAATCGCCGCCTTCACCATACTGAATAGACATCGCTGACGACGACGAGCAAGGGCGGTGGCGACAGGAGCGGCGACGAGCAACAACAGTGGTGATGGCAAACATCGACGGTAAGGAAGGTGAGGACGAAGGCGAAGAAGGAGATGCTGCCAGACTTCGAGCCATGATCGGAAGATGGAGGAGAGACGGCGACCTAGATTCGGAGGCGGAGACCTGAAGACGGATCTGCGTGGATCTGGATTTGCGAAGGACAAACGGGATAGAGTCGGGAGAAGATGGGAGCAATTTTCTTCATTTTTTATTTAATGTCTACTTATTGTCTATTTATTGTCTATTTAATGTCTGTTATTTTCTAAAAGTAAGGGTATTGTGGTCAATGCAGGTGTAGTTGAGTCTTACCCTAATTTTCGGTCTTAGTTTTGGAAAATCCGTACGTTTTGCTCCTATTTGTTGAAATCTCCCCAAAATTAATAGCTTGCATCATAAACACAAATTGGTTGATAAACATAACAAAGATAGTGAACTTGTGAAAATATATGAAAACGTTTGATATTTATTCTAGTGTCCATTTTTTAATATTTAGTGTCCATTTCTTACGGTTCATTAATATAACCGCAATATTCTTTTTAAAAAAGGGTAATTCATTTTCAAATCTATGAACAACTTGAATTAATTTATAAGTATTACTCTAACAAATAGACAAACACTATTTAGGAAAAGAACAATCTTTAACATGTTGGGCTCTCAAATAATCTCTCCAACGTTATTTAATGATGTAACTGCCCCAAACATTGTCTAAGTTGTCTTGGACACACAAATTCAAAACATGGCATGCACATCGTTGATGAAAAATCTACCCGCATTGTAAAAGGACATATTCACTCAATGTACGCAAAACAACGGTGCTATTAGTAGCATTATCAAAATAAAAAGGGAAAACTGTCAATTATGTCCTCATACTTTCATGAAAAAGTTAATTAGGTCCTCATACTTTTAAAAAAATCAATCAAATCCCCAAACTTTGTAAAAACGTTCAATTGAGTACATTTACAAGTTAATTGCCATGTCAGCAGGTCACCCGCCGATGTGGCGCACACATGGCAGTCCACGTGTGTGTCACGTCATCAGCAAATGGCTGACATGAGTTCCACATGTGTGCCACGTCTAGGGGTGGGCATAAAACCCGAACCGAACCGGTACCGAACCATCCTGTAATGGTACCCAACCGAATACCGGATATATAAACGGTTCTATAGATTTTTATCCCGTACCGAACCTGTACCGTTTGAAACGGGTATGGGACCGGTCCTAGATTTTGAGAACCGAAAAATACCGGACCGAACCGTTCGAAAATAATGCATTTGAATTTTTTATAATTTTTCTATATCAATAGTTCTCTTTTATAGATCAACAATTTTATACCCCAAATATGTATTCATGTGTCCCTAAGATATCTAAATGTTTATATATATATATATATATATATATATATATATATATATATATATATATATTGCTATTTTATTTTTTTTATATAATTTATGTTCTATTTTGGTATGTATTGAAGGAATATTAAAATTTTAGAAATCATTAATGACTATTCATTTCTAGTAATGTAGTGTACATGACTTTTTGTTGTATCATGTTTGTGCAATTTGTACAACCTAATTAATATGGTTTAAATCTTAGCTCTCAAGGTTCAACTATAAATTAAATTAGAACTACAGAGTAATATTTAACCTAGAACGAAGAAGAACAACTTTGAAGATTTCTATTATATTCATCAATTTGATGATATACGTTTTTATATATTCACATGAACTTAGTAAATTAAAGATGATATTTATCTCGTGCGTCATTATTTTGCTATATTTTTTCTTAGTTGTGTTGCACTATTTGTGTATTTGTGAATTTTAGTACTATGTATGCAATTTCTTGTATTTATTTCAACATTTCATGTGAGTTGGTTGGTTGATATCTACTAATTGCAAGATTTGTTCAAAATTTTTAGCATGTGTTTGGCATTGTACCGTACCGTTTTGTACCGTTCCGAAACAACATGGTACCGAACGGTTCTATCCTTGGAACCGAACCGTACCGGACCGTTAAAAACTTCACAGATACATTACAGGTTTTACCAATTTACCGGACCGTTCTGGACCGTGCCCACCCTAGCCACGTCAGCAAAATTATTGTTGATTTGGGCTGCCACATGTGCACCACGTCAGCGGGTGACCTGTTGATGTGGCAAGTAATATGCAAATAGCCTCAATTGAACGTTTTTACAAAGTTCGGGGATTTGATTGATCTTTTTAAAAGTACGAGAACCTAATTGACTTTTTCATAAAAGTACGAGGACCAAATTAACACTTTTCCCAGATAAAAAACAAACACTTTATCTAACAAATTAAATTCAATTAAAATTCACTCGATTGAAATAAAAATGTTGTCACCAGTGTGACTGTCATTGAATTCTCTAAACACAATAATCCTTACATGCCATTACAGATAGTAACACGATCGGGAAAATGATCGATAAAATTAATTAAAAAAAAATATTACCAAATCAAATGGTTTCACAACTTCCCGTGTAATGATTTTCTAAAATAATTTTGGAATTGAGGATTTAAAGAACCTTAAGCATACTCACGTAAAGCAAAACTTTTGGAAGAATAAAAGACCAATTTTCTTCGACAATTAATTTGATCATGGTTGCTTTATGTTGATCATCATTATAAACGAAGTTTCAAAAGATTGAGAGTTCATAAACCTTTATATTTGTGATTGTGTACCCTTCCCTTTCTCCCTCACCGCCTTCACAGGGTACATATTCCGCGTTCAAATGACTTTGCACTATATCATAGCCCCCCTGTGGCCCCATATATATTGTTTGATCTAAACGGTTTCATTTTGCATACTATATGTCAATATGTCCTCCTCGGGGTTCTTTGCCATAGGGTTGGCATTTTAAACAGAAAAACTGAAAACCGAACTGAGAAAAACTGAACCGAGCAATAAAAAAACTGAATCGAAATCGAATCGACTTGAACGGGACCTGAAAGTCAGGACCCGAACATGAATCGGTTTAAAGATGGTTTTTTGAGATTTAAAACCGGTTCAAACCGAACCGAACCAAAAGATAAAAGATAAGTAATAAATCAATTCTAAGTCCAACATTTGACAATTTGTAGAAGCAGTTCAGTGGTTTGGGAAAGAGGTCTAGGCGTGGGTATTATGTTTTTAACCCAAGTTTGATTCCCGCTGGCTACCGGTTCTCAGCATTTGAATTTTCTCAAGTGTTTGAAAAGTTCCCACATCAGTTGCATTGAAGGATTTACTCCCCATTCGTCCCTGTATATGCGCCCCGTCATTGTAAAGTTTGAATAGGTGGTCTAGGCTGCTTTAGTGCTGCGCCTTAGTGAAGTTTTATGCAATTCATTCAGTTTTTCAACAAACCGAAGAACCGACTTGAAAATTCGGTTTCCAAAAAATTGGGTCTCAGTAATATTCAGTTCGGTTAGGGTTTAAGGAATTTGTTAAACCGATAAATCGATTTGGTTCGGATTTTCCCAAGCTGAATCCACCCCTACTTTGCCATTGTAAAATAAAATAGGAGTATTCTGTAATAAACAAATCATATCTTAGTATTCCGTAATAAAATATATTGCCGCTCTTTTGCTTGTCCTCGGGGTACCCATCCCTTCTTGGTCATCATCTTCTATCAAGATTGGTTTTTGTTCCACATCTTCTTGTGCTTCATAAATAGGCATGGATCCAACCGGGCCAGCCCGACCCGGAACCGGCCCGACCCGTTACTGTACGGGCCCGAATGGACGGTTCCGGGCTTTAGCCCTGGTTGGGTGGGTCTGGCGAGCCGGTTCTGGTATATATTTTTAAAGTTACCTTATATCTTTCATTTGCATTGGTGTGCTTTGTTTTCTTGGTCTATCTACCAAAGAATTCAGTGATAACAATAAGAGATAAAATGCAATATGTGGCTAGATTTCATTTTTGGTTTCTCCGGCAAAGATTTCTTAACACATAAATGAAAGAGAAGAGAACTTTACTTGACACGAGTCATGTTCAAGCTGTTTTGTCTATAATCTAATTGTCTATAATCATGATGGGCATTTCTTGAAAAAAAAAATTAAATTTAGTTCCAGCTATAAACTGCATTTTTAATCTATGTCTAATGCCTAACTAATTTTGAAAATTTGATATTGCATGCTAATTGTTTGATATCTTGCTTCACGTAGATGTCTTTTAAAGAACACATTGGTGTTGTTTGTTTTCTTGATTTATTTACCAACGAACATAATGATAACAATAAGAGATTAAATGCAATATGTTTCTAGATTCATTTTTTGCTTCTCCGATAAAGATTTCTTAAATAATCTAATTGTCCATATTCATGATGGGGATTTACATTTCTTGAAAAATTATATTTAGTTTCAAGTATATATAACTGCATTTTAAACCTATTTCTAATGCTTGACTAAGTTTGAAATTTTGGTGTTACATGCTAGATATATTTGTTCGAGTAAATATCTTTCACACATATTTTTGTCAGCTTTAAGAGGTATCTGCTGGAGCTTCTATATATGTATGTCATCACCACTCTTTTTTGTACTGGATATCCGCATTGCTTTGTAGCTGAACTTGATAATAGTAATCACTTCCTAACCTGATTTTGCGGATAAACAATTAAGATAATAGATTTTAAAAAAATGCAGCTTATCAAATTCCTAAATTTGACATTAATTATTTTGAGTACATACTTTTAACATACTACCTCCGTTCTCTTTTAATTGCAACATTGGACTTTTTACATTATTCACATATTCTACTTTGACTATATTTTATTAATTAATGTTTTATAAATTAAATTTTTAAAAAATATCGTTAAATTCTTCTCATTCTAAATTTTCAAAATATGATTTTTTGAAATTTTTTACTAATAAGGAATGAAAGATATTAATGGTCAAACTTGTGCGTTGGCAAACGTGAAATGTTTACTGTTTCAATTAAAAATGAAAGGTAGCAAGTATATTAAGAGGCAAAGAATATTTTTTAACATATATTCGGTTCTTAATTCTTCTTTTGAGTACATACTTTTCACAAATATTAAGAGGCTGAAAATATGTGTTCAATATTTGCTCAAATTTAACATACTTTTGACATCAATATATTGATATTGATATACGTTTGCATCCATCTTTGCACCTCCAACTAGAATATTTGTTGACATCTTTTCAGTTGATAAAGGTCATATTTAGTGTAACCGTCTAAGCTTCATAGTCGTGTGTTATGATGGTGTACTAAATTTCTCTATTACTACTATGTCATTGGAAAGCAACAGAGGTCTCAGGTTAAAACAGTTTGTTGCAAGTTTTCTCTACATGTTCGGAAGTTGAACTTCTTTTCCTCTACATGTTCGGAATTGATTAGAGTATTAGTTTGGAAAACTGCTCACCCTCACTCTCAGTGTCTCAGTACTGATGCTTCTTTTGTTGATGGAAAAAGCGCTGATGATGCTATACTCTGCGATTGAGACGGAAATTTATCTCTGCGCTTTCGTTCCTCTGGCGGTGGGGTCTGTTCTTCAGGCGGAAGCTTGGACAGTGCTAGAAGCTCTGAAATGGTGTCAAAGGATGAGATATGAGAGGGTCCAGATTGAAACCGATTCGGAAGTATTATGCAAAGCTCTCAAAAAATCTACTTCAGCATCCTATCTGGAGGAAATCAGCCGGTTTATTGCTATTCTCCAGGCAACCGTCGTTCATTGTTACAGGGAAATTAATACAGTTGCTCACCTTCTTTCTCGAGAAGCTCTTCAATCGGGCACACATACAGTATTTTCTTCACCAAGCGAACTTTCCAGATTAGTTTTCACGCAGCTATTCCTTGATGTTGTTTTGACTCCTGCCATCCGCTTTTAATGGCGTTACCTCTTTTATTTTATTCATGCTTTTGCCCTCGGAATTGATCAGAATACAGGCGCCTTTGAGTTCCGCTGCAGTTGTCAAATTCTTCACACCCATTTTCAATTTTCAATTTTTTATTCTAATTTCCTTTCAACTTTTTATTCCGCTTTTGCTTATACCTCACTCTACTGCACTATGGATGTTTTTATTTGGACCGTAATTCGTCCCAGACCAGACCAGACTAGACTTGGATAGTTATAAAAATACAAAGAAACCAGACCAGACCAGTTCAGACCAGACCAGATAAGACCAGACCATACCAGCAAATTATAGTCCAAGTAAAAACATCCTATGGCTACAATGTACATTCCATTGCAGGTGTTTTGTTTCCCTCTACTTTTCCTTTTTCTATTTCTTGAGTGCGATTTCTGTTGAAATTCATATCCTCTTTTTTATATTCTTCTTTTTGCTGCACCTAGGCATGTTTGACATCTGTTTGAAAGTATGTCTTCTTCAAATTTAGGTTCAGATTGAGAACATAATATGAATAAGCAATATCAGTGTGCTTTGTTACTTTGTAAGCTCAAATTAATAAAAACCTACTACATCTGTGCATCCACACTTTCATCCCGATGAAGTGTATATAACCAAGAAAGAATCACCTTTAGGGCTGGCCACACAATATGCACATCCGTTCCAGTTCTCACCGGATGACAAATGCTCATCTCAGGCTCTCAGAGAGTTCTACTAAAGTAGCAGTTTGACATGTTACCGACTCAGAAGCCACCTCTGATATTGTCATGAGAAGGTCTTTGGTAAAATGTGTTCAACCTGAATGTTGACACCAAGTCACCAAGTGTTTTCTATGTTTGGCTCTCATAGATGTTTTCTATTTAATGTGTTATGTGTACAATTAAACATTGCAGTTTTGTTAAAATAAATTATTTTGTGGATTCAAGAAATGGTACAATTGTAGGGGCGTAAAAAATTGCTTTAAAAGCTCATTAAGCACAATTTTTCTTAGGAAAGTACTACGTAACTATTAAAATTTATGCAATAAAAAAGAAAATGTTAAAATTTCATTTCATTTATCCCATATTAATAAGTCATGTAACTCTCCAAAGTGTGTTTGGTTGTTTGTGGTACTCTTCTTGGACCAACTCCTAAGTAATTTAGAGTTACTATGATTTAATATGAATAAAGGCTTAATTTGTAAGAATGAACTTATATTTAGTAATATCAAATCACTCTATATTTATTCTATTATCCCGTGCAACGCACGGGTTAAAGACTAGTTGTAAAATAAAATAGGAGTATTCTGTAATAAACAAATCATATCTTAGTATTCCGTAATAAAATATATTGCCGCTCTTTTGCTTGTCCTCGGGGTACCCATCCCTTCTTGGTCATCATCTTCTATCAAGATTGGTTTTTGTTCCACATCTTCTTGTGCTTCATAAATAGGCATGGATCCAACCGGGCCAGCCCGACCCGGAACCGGCCCGACCCGTTACTGTACGGGCCCGAATGGACGGTTCCGGGCTTTAGCCCTGGTTGGGTGGGTCTGGCGAGCCGGTTCTGGGCCCACATTTTACATGAACCGGACCTGCCGGTTAGGGCCAGTTTCGGGCCTTTTTTTCAATTTTTTTCTTTTCCTTGGGTAGGGCTGGGTGTTTTGGGGAGGTTTGGGGGTGGGGGTGAGGGGGGGGGGTCGAGGGATAACAAGAAAGCCAAAAAAAATATACATTGAACCGGACCGGACCGGCCCGACCCGGTTTGGCCTGAACCCGATATCAACCCGGGCCGGTTCCGGGCCCAAGTATCTGGAAAAAAAGCCCACCCGAGCCCGGCCCGGGTCCATCTTTATTCATCAAACCCTTCTTTGATTTGACACCTGAGTGCATCATTGTACAAGTCTAATTTACTTGAATGCGGGAACATTCATGCATTAAACCAACACACATTCACCTACCAACCAAATATTAAGACTCTTTTGGTAAGACTATTTTTAGATTTATCATGCTTATCAGCTAACTTTTTCATTAAACACGTAACTTTTGTTTTCGCGCTTTGAATTGTGTAATAATAAGAAAAAGTAAGGTTGAAATTACTTTTCTGGCTGTATTGGCTGAAGTTACTGTAGATGACGAATTTAGCTATTTTTACATATAATTTTTTTTATTAATAAAATACTATCGTATATTTTAAAAATATTTTTTTCTTAGATTAACAGAATCAGCTAATGCAGCCACTTCAGCCAAAATTTCATAAATTTCAGCAAAATCAACCGAATTAGCCGATTTTTGTGTTACCAAACGGGCTATAAATATATAAAATCTAAGGTTTGTCCTATAATGTTAGTACATTACTTTCTAATATATATACTCCCCATCACATTTTATCTGTCTTACTTTCTTTTTTGGGTTGTTACAAAATAAGTGTTGTGTTTCCTTTTTTGGATAAAAATATGTAATCCACATCATTTACTTTATTATAGTCAAACTTCAACTACAAGTTTTACTCTTTCAACCATTTTTAATAATTGTGTCAAATCAAAACAAGACACATAAAATGAGAATGAGACGGAGGTAGTATATATTTATAAATACTAATGTGGTATCAAAACTAAAAACTCGAGCAAGAAACTTATTTTGTAACAAAAAGGCTTAAGAATTTCAAAATTGATCCACTCCAACATCATGTCAAGTTATTCCATTCCACAACACCAAATATAAATATACAAACTAAGACTACGTATATTATATGGTTGACTTGTTATGATATGGTTTTGATCATAACCTGAAGTCATAATAATGGTTGACCCAATATTTGAAATATAATCACAGTTGAATAATGTATTCCGATCACACAGGAACAGTACTGACCAAAATTAAATGGCATGTAAAGAACCTCAACACAACCTTCCACAGTTGAATAATGTATTCCGATCGCCCTTCTTGTTGTTCTTGCTGGCTTCTTCTAAAGCAAATGTTTACATGCTGTACTGATCTGTATAAAGATTTTGTAAGAAACGAGCATATATCTGTTGATTCCATCATTTATGTGCAAGTTGAAGGCACACAATAATGCATCACTCTATACCAATCAACAGCTCTTACAGTTCACACCAGCTGATACAACTGTCTAACTACACATAGTTGATGGAAAGGTCAATCGTGAAGAATACTTGCATACCACATCCAATGGCAAGCTATTACAGGTTTCCAGCATATAATTCTGGATACACACTCCCATATAACTGACAAAATGGTTCCTAAATTATACTGATGAGATTCTACGATATCATATCTAGAGATAATTGCAAATACTACCTCCGTCCCCCATAACATTGATACAAGAGGCTAACATTGATACATGAGGAGGTGATGTGATTAACAAGAAAAGTGAGTTTATATGGTTAATATTGAATTGATAAAATGAAAATATAGAATGATTTTGAATCGAACAAACATCACCAGATTTGGTATGGAACAATCTTAATGAGACAGACTAAAAAAGAAAGATGTGACAATCTTAGCGGGACGGAAGGAGTAATGAACATGGAAATCAAAATTATATGAGATACCTGATATGGTTATGTAACTATGTCCAACAATACAAGGATTCATATTGTAAAATCAAAAATAAAATCAGGAACATGACCTTAATACACAAAAAAATGTAATCGTTCCAAAATGGGAGTTTAGTAACAAGTTAACATCTAACAAAAATTGGATATCTAACACATTTTAAAAAAAAATTCAAAAGTAATTAAAATAAATAATACGAGTAAAGAATATCAATTTCAGCAATAAATAAAAATTTTGGATATTTTGAAACAAGAAATATATTTAAGTTTTTCTGCATTCCATTTCCGCCTAGTTGTGGAGAAGGGGACTATTGGATTCAAATTTATTTTAATACGGAGTACTATTTTTTCCTTTCCCTCTCACTTTTTTAACTACCAAACAATGGAAACACCTACTATCTTTTGATTCTTTTCTATTTATTTCCTCTCCCCCTTCCATTTTCATATTAAAGACACAATTAGTCTCATATCCACTAAACTAATTAAACCACTATACTTTTTTTTTGTCAAAGTACAGTGTGTAATCACTATACTTTTGGTGTGGAGGATTGATCTCATTTCATCTTTTTTTGTATTTCTTATACTCTATCTATTTTATCTTATCTTTTTATCCTTTTATCTTGTCGTTTTTTATTTTCCATCATTTGCAATGGAGACAAAGGACACTGTTTTTGTCTTGGGAATATGATTGAATAAAGCAAATGGCTCATTAAACTGTATGTGCTTCTTTGTTATGAAGCAACAGTAAGTCAATGCAATTTTCGACACGATTTTAACCATGGATCATCACGAAACAGTCTCTCTGTGCTTGAGTACAAGGGTAAGGCGACGTACATTCGACCCCCCTTACCCCACCATAAGTGGGAGCCTTTGCGGCACTAGGATGAACTTATCATTTTTATCTTTATCTTATCTTTTTTATCTTATGTTATCTTTTTATCCTTTTTAGCTCCGATTTCATATATCTATTCATGTTAGCCGATCTAAACTCTTTTGGGACTAGGGCTTGGATGTTGTTGTAAGGTGACAATCAATGCTCAAGATTGCTCCCAAAGTAAACGAAAAAATCAAGTCAAGAAGGCAGCCTAAGAAGAAATATTCAAAACAAATACACAAGGAATGATCTCAAAGAGAAAATACCACATTGTCGCAGCATCTCCTTCTAGGCTTGTCAGATTTTGGGCTTATGCCAACTGCACGATTCAAGCTGTGAGAAATATGCAATTGAAACCCTCATATCTCAGCAAATGAGAACTTCCCTGTAAACGGTGCATCTCACGTCCCTTCAAATGATTCTCAAAATTACTGCAGTTGAATGCCTTTCTTCAAATCTTCCCAAACGTCATGTCCTCCAGGATGCTGATTTACGTACCTACTCACGAATGTTTTCTCAGAAGAAGCAACAATAGTTTTCAAGGCCAAGTTTGGATCCACTCTCCCCTGATCTTTCAGCCAATTATACATAAACACCCTGAGTTTGGTTCTCTGAGTGTTGAACGCGATGTATGATGGAAACGAAACTAAACTAGATAGCGGATATCCCAAGATGTTCACAAGAAAATCAATCTTTTCTTCAATCACCTCTTTTGTTTGGTTTAGAATATTGGGATAACCTTTGATCATTGTGGACACATCCTTTGGATCCAAACCGGCATTGACCAAACAGTCAAACCTCTCTTGAAGCTCCAATCCTTTGCCTCGAAGAGATTTAAGAGCTTCTTCCATTTCACCTTTGTTTTCAAGAAAGCCCAAACTCAAAACAAATTTATTTTTCATGTCTTTCGATTTTTTTCTCTCTCCTGTTGATGGGAACGGCACGACTCTTTTTCCTAAAACCCATTTCTTCAAAATATGTGGGTCCTCCAAGATCGTTTTACGGAGCCTCCTCTTCCCAGTATTTAAAGTACGAAGCAAGCTATCTACTTTCTTTAAAGAACATGAACCCAGAAGCAAAGGGTATGAACTAAAAACATTCTCAATCTGATGTGAAGGCATTTCAATATCAATAAGAATCTGGTAACAATTCCTTAAGTTCTTAAGAAACATTCCAGTTTGAATTTGTGGGAAATGGGAAAAAATACAGTATATCTTATTCTGAGTGCATCCAAATTTCCACAAGAACCCCATAATTGAAAATACATTACATCCTGAGCCCCCAAATAAAATATCAGGATTATTACTTATGACTTTACCCAGTTTCTCCTCATTGAAACCCAACTTCCTGAACAAGAGTAAGGCTTCAGATAAATAGCCCCACTCATAAGAGTTTTCTTTCAATAATTGCTGAAAAATCCAGTCTTGATTAATTCCCAAACACTTCAACTTCTCCAAAAATATAAAGAACTCCCTATCTACATTCCCCTCCAAAAGGCGTGGATTAGAACGAATTAGCTTAACTAGACTGAGTTGGTCAAACCCAACCTTGCCAAACGCCTTGAGCTTTGATTCCAATACTCCTTGACAGTACCTGAAGATATTGGGGACTTCTTTGTAAATTTCTCCGATCTTACTCCGTGCAAAACCGCAACTGCAGAGCACACGATAGTTGTGAATCAAAACTTGATCATCACTCAAGAATATCAACTTTGATGGGAGAAACATAGAGTACTCAGAAGGGTTCATCCCCATACTCTCAAAGAAGGGCTCGAACTCATTAATGGGATGGTACCTCAAATACCTGGATATAGACCCTGCACTATGACTATCATTATTCACCATTTTCACCAAGTTATTAAGAAAATAAGGGGAGTTTCCACTTATGTGTTGGGCATCCGGATATTGCAATCCTCTGGTGGAATGCAGGTAGTCTAATAGAGAAGACTGTGCTTCTCTCTTCACAGTCTCGGGAAATTGGAATATTTTCTCCCATATTTCCCTAGATTTCCTTTTCGTGCGATAAAACCTATACTTCTGATAGGTGTGGATTGAACCATTAGTTCGAAACTTGGCTCTTGATGATCTAAAGCAGTTATCACAATGGCTTACAGAAGCACATTTGAAGATAGATGAAAGTATCTGCTTCCGCAAATGGTCCATGACTATGTTTATTTCATGCTGTAGGATAGCATAGCACTTAACGGACAGCAAAAACACTTGAGTTTTCTTTTAGTCCACAACAGCTAAGACCACAATGTTAACATGATACCTTGAACTACCGCGGTCGTGGATTCTGGACGAACGGAGCGGCTCTCCGGCAGTCGACGGCGGTGCTTGCCATGATTGTAAGAATTGCAGGGGCATGAAGAGCTTACCGCATTTTTAGGCCTTCTGGGTGTGAAAAAAAGGGCCTTCCTCGTACGAGAGGAGCATTATTTTTCTCCCCGTTCTTTGATCCAATTGAGTTAATTTGGGTTTTTTAGAATATTTGGGTTTCAGAAGATGAGATAATTTGAGCCGTATAAGGAAGGCCGTAAGCTTAGGGTTCTTTTTCACTTCCTGGGCACTCATTTGAGCCGTAGCATTTAGCATTTGATATCAATTAATAAAATCTGAACAAGTTAAAAATAATTATTGTATGTTTTATATCACGCAGTAACATTTAATGTAGAATAGAAATTAGTTCAAATAGAATTAAAACTATGGCAAAAATCTAAAATAGGACTTGTTATGTTTTTATTCCAAAATAGGACCATATAAGTCCTATTGGAAACATACCTATTTTTGCATTCCATTCTTACCCTTCCATTAAATATGAATTAAAAATAGTCAAAAGCCATAATTAAATGTTTAATTCATAATAAATTCGAAAAAAATTCAAAAATTCGTAGAAATATAATTAAAAAATTTATAAAATTTTTATAAAATAAAAAATTCAAAAAATTTTTTTTAAAATAATTTTATTTTTAGAAAAATTAATAAAAAATATTAAAACTCCGTAAAAAAAATTTAAAAAAATATGGATGTCTTTCCCATCGCTTGTACTACCTCCCAGCACCACCACCTCCGGCCGATGAAAAAAATGCCATTTTCCCAGAAAAATGCCATTTTTTTCTGAAAATGCCAAAAAAGTGGCATATTTCTCTTTTCGAATGCCAACATTTTCATTTTTTCTGCCATAAATATGGCATTCGTAATGAACTTGGAATTTTTTTCCCCGGTGACTGGAGGTGGTGGTGCTGAGGCGGCAGAGGCGGCGGCGATTTTTTTTTAGTTTTTATTTTTATTTTTTAATATTTTTTTAATTTTTTAATTTTTTGAAAAAAAAAATAATTATATTTTTAATATCGAAATGTTTTTCTTAATTTTTTAGTATTTTTTACGAATTTTTATTATTTTTTATTGTTTTATTAGGAATTAAAACATTTTAATAGCTATAAGGGTATAATTGTTCAAGGTACACATAATTAGTCCTATGCAAACATAGTTTATTTTTTGATCCTATTTGTGAAAAGTGAATGATTTTTAGTCCTATTTTGATAATTAACTCAATGTAGAATTATTAGAATTATTATGAAATCTCTATTAGAATAAAAATCAAATTGGATTCGAGCCCCGGGAGGAGCTTCAAAACTCTAGATCGGTCGTCTCCTCAAGATCGATTAACCGCTACTCTCAAACTTCCTCTTCCACCTTGTATGAGCAATTGTGTATTCCCTATCATTTCTAGGGTTCTTAAAATTTTGTTAATTTTGATAGTTATTTTATAGGTATCTGCTTCTTATATTAATGATGAAGATTTTCCGGTGTAGTTATGTGGTTGTTCTTTTATGACTAGCAATATTCCTTTAACCCTAGATTTGTTCTCCTCAATCTATTTTTGGTTGCATTGTTTGCTCGCCTCCTTCCAACCCACCACCACCGGGCATAGGGGTGGAAGTAAGTGGAAGTGTGAAGAATCAAGAATAAATGTCATTAGTGTTTATACACTCGAGACAAATTTGCTTGTGAATATGAATCAAACGACAGCGCAACATGATCGATGATTCGTCGTCGTTGTTTAATTCATGTAGTCTTTCATATGTAGTAATTTTTAGTAGTTACGTTTGATTCTATTTTCTAGATTACTTTTTAGTCATCCTAAATGGTGGTGAAAGTTCTAAATCGATCATTTTTGATTCGCATGTGCATGTATGGAGATTAACGTGAGTAAAAGTATTGATTAAACATGACACTCATAATCACACACTAGAAACTCGTAGTGTTTTTAGATGTCATCTATCTTAATTTAATATTTTACTCATTTTCAATTAAGTTCATTAAGATCAAATACGGGGTAATACATTTAAAAATGTATTTTGTTGAATATCGATAATCATCAAAATAGTCAACACTCAACCCAAATACTACCTCTGTACGGAAAAGGTTTATCATATTGATTTTTCTTGGTCAACGATGACAAACTTTGAACAAAGATTTTCATTATTATATTTGCATATAATTTATAAGTTTTATACTTTTATGAAAATATTTTGAATAAGGAACATTTTGATATAATTCTCATATTCTAAATAATTTCGTATTTAACAATATCATTAGTCAAAATTGATTGTCATTGACTAATAAAAGTCAATTTGGCAAACCTTTTCAGGAGAGGATTTAAAATATATCATACACTATGACATTATGTTTTCTTGAAAAATGATAAACTGAACAGTATAAGAAGGGTAGATGTGGAAAAACCTAATATGCCTATATATTTCCCAAATGGCTTGATATAAAGGAACAACGAAATTGGGTCAATCTAAACAATGTGAAAACGTTGCAACAGAAGTTTAACCAGAGAGGGAAGATACTGTGCTTGATGAAATGCATGGAGCACACCCTCATCAGTCATCATGATTTTAGGAGTCATGCCGTTTCGAACTTTTTGCATTACGATCCTTTGCATATTTGTGTAAATGATCAATTTATGGTGATTTGAAAGGCTTCATAGAGGGGCCTATTTTTTATCGGGGTCAAGTTACTTTTGTAGTTTTGTGGGGTAAACTCACTTGACTTGATCCCGCTCATGCTAATCCAGGTCAATTACACGATCCACAAATTGTGCATGCCATGCGGGAACGACTCTATCTCATCATTCATCATTTTCATTTACGTCAGTGACCCAGAGGCTCCCACCTACGGTGAGGTAAGGGGTCGGATGTACGCAATCTTACCCCTGTACTAAAGCACATAGAGACTGTTTCCGGATGACCCATAGTGAAAATCCCGTCCAATATTGCATGGAGTGACTGCTGCTTCATAATAAAGAAGCGCAGTTTAGTGAGTCATTTTGCTTTATTCCATCATAATCTGAAGCCAAAAAATAATGAATCTTTGGATCCATTGCAAATAATGGAAAAACAACGATTCTATCTGATTGTAGAAAATATTTTCTTGGTGTTTTGGGATGCATTCCTGTTCTTTTAACACGATTTGCCATTGGCTTAATATAGAATTTTTCCTTTCAAAGAAAAGCCATAAAACAAGTACTTATATGGTGTAAACAAGACTCTGTTAGAACGTAAATATCTTTAAATGTTTGGACTTCATGCATCAGAAAGATTACATTACTAGTATAGTACAAAAGAAACTCATTCATTATGAAGTGTCTTTAAATGTTAGGGATGTAGTTATTAAAGATAGGTGTGTTGAAAGAAAGCTCCAATATCACTTCTGAATTGGTCAAGATATTACTTACATTTGCACCTTACCACTTCTACATAAAAGCAATGAAGAGTAATAAAAAATATACTTCTATGTTGGTGATCTAAAACAAGGTGCAACAAAATATCATTGTCAAATTTAACATCAGCCATCGAGACCTTTCTGATTCTCTGATGATCTAGTCCTCCTCTAAAGAACTGCCCGACTAAATCCAACTATTTAAGAAAAATATACTATTTTGACGTGTTTCTATAAAACAAGACACCTATAAGAAGACAAAAATTAATGGAACGGAAGATTTCTTACTATTATCATCTTCGGTTATTGGGTTGGCATGTAGTAGGGCGGATAAGGAGGAGGTTGCATGGGATAGGATGGCTGTGGGACCATGTGTGTGCCACTGTGGTATGTGTAACCGCTGAGATGAGTTTCAAATCCATGTGGTGGTTTCTGTTGAGCATGTGAGTGGTAACCGGGTGGTGTTGTCAGAAATGGGGTTGTAACTAATGCTGCAGAAGTCTGTACTTGAGCAGTGAACTTGCCTTTGTAATTGTCAGCAAGTTTTACCGTAACATTCCTTCCCTGCAACCATTTTGCAAAAGCTGAAATAAATCCTAGGATGTGCATGCATAAGTGTGCTGCCCTCACAAGCTACTCTTGTAACAATCCCAAACTAGCCTTTGACTAGTCTGCGCCTACACCCTAAGCTCCACCTGTGCACCTATGGTTGTTCCGGGCTCCATAACACTGACTAATCACTAACCATGGTGCCAGGTTTAACAGAAAAACTGCCAAACCAAAACGGACTGACTGGCAAAATAATTTAAACCTAAACCACGAAAACCAATATAATCATAGGTGATTCAGTCTGCAGTTCAAGGCTTAGGCTTTGAAAACTGGCCCAAATACGACAAAAAATGAGCTGACAGACACAAAGATGTTTGGTTTTTGGTTTTGCATTTTTCAAACCCGATTCGACCTAAATCAATGTGCACCAACTGATAACAACACCTACTCGGTACTAGGCCACAGCAACAGCCTAGTCTGTCTCGCGCTATTTACAACATTAATGTACGTGATTCATACCAATCAAGGTTGTAAAGATTGCAAGTAAGATCGTTGAATCGTACGATTCTACGCGTTCAGGTACCTGGGATGAGTTGAATCGCAGAAGAGATCGGAAATTTCAGCAAACTCGCCGGATCGACGAGTAAGATCGTAAACCCGTAGAATCGTCGATCTATGACGATCTTCGCCATCGAAACGACCCAACTGGTCGAAATCCCAAACGACTCTGAGAGTAATCTGAGAGTCGGAAGTCGCAAAGGACTCGATTTTTGAATTAAAAAAAAAAACATTTACGCAACCCAACTCCCCAAGCGATGTACCTGAGCGACCAGACTCCAATAGCGACTCATCTTCTTCGTCTTCAGTTAATCAGTTCTATAAAAGGCTTTGGGGTGTCACTCTGTAATTGCGTACTCATCTCTGTCCATCTCCAGTTCTCTGTTTAATATTTTTTCAGCGACTCACCTTTTTGATAGCTATGGCAAGCGGTTCTGGAAGAGTGAACAAAAAAAGTGCTGGGCAGGGTAATGATGTCGGGTGGCAGCACGGGATACCAATGAGCGAGGATAAGAGAACAATTCAGTGCAAATACTGTGAGAAGGTGTTTACAGGAGGGGTTTACCGTTTAAAGCATCACTTGGCAGGAACGAATAAAGATGTGGCACCTTGCAGAAGCGTGAGTGATGAAGTTAGAAAAGAAATGTGGGATATAATGGTGGCATTACAAAGAAAATCCAATATTAAGAGCTTTCAAGATGGAGGGGATGATCATGAGAAACGAAAAAGAGAGGAGGAAATGGATGATTCCAGTAACATCTTCAAGAGAAGAGCAGGCACTCAAACGACGATAAACACTATATTCAAGAAGAACATAAGGGAAGAAGCATGTGATGCAATTTCTTTATTTTTTTATAACAATGCTATTCCTTTCAACGTTGCTAACAGCCCGGAGTTTCAAAAGATGTTTGATCTTGTTGCCCAACATGGTCCTGGATTCAAACCACCCACATATCATGAAATACGGGTGAAGTACTTGAAAAAGCATATGGAAAAGACTAAAGAAATTGTCGAGGAGCACAAAGCCTCATGGAAAAAAACGGGATGCACCATCATGGCGGATGGGTGGTCGGATACGAGAAAAAGGACATTAGTAAATTTCTTGGTGAATAGTCCTAGGGGTACCGTTTTCTTGAAATCTATTGATGCATCTGAGATTTCTAAAACGACTGAAAAAATAGAAAAGATGCTGGATGAGGTCGTTGAAGAGGTTGGAGAGGAAAATGTTCTTCAAATTGTAACAGATAATTCAACAAATTACAAGGCTGCTGGAGATCTCTTGATGCAAAAAAGGAAGAATTTGTATTAGACGCCGTGCGCCGCTCATTGCCTTGATTTGATGTTGGAAGATTTCGAGAAGAAACTTCCACTACATCATGACACAATTGCCTCTGGAAAGAAGATCACGACGTATATTTATTCTCGCACGGGTCTCATTTGTTTATTGCATAAATTTACGAAGGGTCGTGATTTGATTAGGCCTGGCATGACTCGATTTGCCACTTCGTATTTAACATTGGGATGTTTGCATGATAATAAGGGGCCGCTGCTACGAATGGTGACGTCTGATGAGTGGAAGTCTAGTCCATTTTCGAAGATTAGAGATGGCAAAATGGTGGAAGATTTGATAATGGATAAAGAGTTTTGGAAGAATATTCTCAATTGTTTGAGAGGCGCATATCCATTAATTAAGGTGCTACGATTAGTGGATTCAGATGAAAAGCCGGCTATGGGATTTATTTATGAGGAAATGGATAAAGCAAAAGAGAACATTCAGAAGGCTTTCAAAAATACTTCGTGGAGGTAAATAAACAAATTACTTAACATTTTTTTAGTTTATGATCTATTAATTAAATACTATAAATACTTTCAAAAAATTAATGATTACTTTTTTTTAGCTACATTCCTTTGTGGGACATCATCGACGAAAGGTGGGACAAGCAGTTGCATAGACCATTGCATGCGGCAGGATATTATCTTAATCTCATGTTACATTATGGCCCGAATTTTAAAGCTGATTTTGAGGTTAAGAAGGGGCTATATGATTGCTTACAAAGGTTGGTGGGAGATCTTGATGAAATTAGTAAGATTGATGCGCAACTTGAAGATTTTAAAGCTAAAAAGGGTTTTTTTGGAAGTGTTATTGCTACACAAGGACTTAAAACAAAAACTCCAGGCCAGTGGTGGGAATCATACGGGGATGAGCATCCTGAACTCCAAAAGTTTGCCATTCGAGTTTTGAGCTTGACATGCAGTTCATCCGGGTGTGAACGTAACTGGAGTGCATTCCAGATGGTGCACACGAAAAGGAGAAACCGTTTGAAGCAAAAGACGATGAATGATGTTGTTTTTGTGATGGTTAATTCAAGGATGGGTACCAACAAACGGAGGAGAAAAGGAAAAGATTATAATGTTGACGATCTAGCTTCAGATGATGAGTGGATTGTGGATGAAGATGATGATAGGATTGAGATGGATGCTGGTGATGATGAGGAGCTCAATGTTGACGTTCAAGAAAATGCTCAAAACATTGGTGGTCTTGGTGATTCAAAAACTGATGATTTAGAGATTCCTCCTGTTGAAGATGAAGATGCCATGCTGGATGATCTTTTTTAACCTGCATGATTTTGTTTGAGGGTCTTTTTTCATTTATCTTAAGTTTGTTATGCTAAATGTTTTGAACTTTTAATTCAAAAATGACAGTATGTTATTCTGTTATTCATATTTCATAAATTTTAAGTTTAAATATATATTATATATATGCATGATATTTTTGCTTTTAGGATCTTACGATTCGAGTTACGATCCACGAGTTACGATCTCCTCAACCCCCTCAGATCCGAGCTAGGATCTCGAGTTTCACAACCTTGATACCAATGCAGTTGTTTTGGAACTGCCTAAGGTTGCAAAAACTGCTAAGCAGGCCCAGGGTAGAGGACCACTCTGCTACCTTGGTGGCTCCCCAGGTTATATTTACTTCTGTAAAACAAGTCACCTATCCTGCCTAACAGATTACATGGTTGATAGTCCAGCTCACCCCCTACCATATTTAACTACCACCTAAGAGTTTGGGATTGGCTAACATGAATGGACATATGCAATCAGAGTTAAAAAAATAAGATAAAGATCAAAAAAGATAAGACAAAAGAGATAAAAAGATAAAGATAAGAAATACTATGTATAGAAAAGATAAAATGAGATGAATAATGCAACTCACAAGTCACAATATGGAATAAAAAATTTAGAAAGAGCAGAAGAATGATGTACAAGCCTGAAAGAGAATTTTCTCCTTACCCCAAGTATCCTTTGTGGATTCTCTAACGCTTTCTTTGCAGACTCCGTATTTTTATAAGTGACAAAGCCAAAACCACTACAAGGGAACAAATTCATGTTAAGAATACATGATAAATATAATATGAGCTCTACTAGTCTAGACTAGTTATAAAAGCATCAAAGATGTTGATCGATAATGTTAAATACCGTGATTTTTCAGTATCTTTGTCATATGCAACTGAACCCTCCTCTATCTCACCGTGCCTTCGGAAAAAATCAAGAAGCATCTCACTAGTTGTGTCTGGTGATAAACCCCCAATATAGAGCTTCCTCTGTGATTGGTCACATGTAATACTGGTATTGCTGTTTATGCTTTCAGAAGCTAGGTTACAAACTGACATGCGACCCTGAGAACAAAACATTCAAGGACCCATTTGGAACATGGAATATACTAGGGAAAGAGACCATGGAAAAAATAATGAGGAAATATGTAAGGAAGGAAATTCCGGGTGAAAAAATTATACTCATTTCATGTAAATGTTTCTATTATATAAACGGAAAGGATTCTGGATATATGTAAAAAAAATACTAAAAAGTTATATCATTTCATTTTCATTGGCATTTTCCACGATAAAGTCATATACCAAATATCAGAAAACAATTTTTCTTTACATTTTCCACTTTTTAGAGCATTTCCCATATCCAAAATGCTAGAACAGAAACTCCAAACCAGATACAGAATTGTCTCCAATAGTGGTTGAGATTAAAATAATTCAGGGGGTAAATATTGAGGGATGAGCTCTCATTTGTAGTCTTCTATCAACCACCTAATAACAGCAATTTGAGTCATGTACTCATGTTCCATGGTTTGCATGTTGATTTTATAACATCAGTTTTACAACAGGACAAGATTGCAACACATATTCCACCAAAGAGGATGACAATAGATCGACACTAAATATTACTTCCTCCGTCCTGTTAAGATTATCCCATTTTACCATTTCGGTCCATCCCACTAAGATTGTTCCATACCAAATTTGGTAAAGTTTGTGTGGCTCTAAATCATTCTTACTTTATTCTTACTTTATCAACTCAACATCAACCACATAAATCACTTTTTATTGGTTTGCGTGTCACTCCCTCTTGTCCCATTGTTAGTGGGACGGATGGAGTAATAATTACTCCTTCCGGTCATTATACAATAACCTTACAGGTGGATCAAGGAAATGATCAAAGGCATATACAATAACCTTCAATTTCCTAATACACTCTTAAGCTTTTATGGGAATGTTTTAGAGTCTTCAAGGGTGAACACAGTCTTGCATCACTATTTTATGGTGTTGTGGGGATGATGAGGAGAATGATTAATATAATTCCTATTAATTATAAGAAATTTCCCTAAATAGGAGTATAACATTTGTGAGTTCCAAAGTAGGACTACCATATTTTTATTCTCTAAATAGGAGTAATTAGGGCCATGTTTTTTCATTACCAGACTTTAAAGTTTAAACATGGCAGTATTTTCCAAGCTTGGCACTATTTACTCCTATTTAGGGAATAAAAACATGACAACCCTATCTTGGAATTCCAAAACATTTATACTCCTTTTTTGGGAATTTTACCTTAATTTTATTACACACACTCTCGAGCTGAATCATGGACAGTAATGAGGTACATATGTTCTTATGCATCACTTACATCAATCATCTTGCTAGGTGCTCGCAGAGCTCTCTGAGCTGATTCCATATCTTTATAGGTAATGAAACCATAGCCACGAGATTTTCCCGTCGCTTTGTCAAAAATGACTGCACCCTCCTCAATTTCGCCGTGCTCTTCAAAGGCCTAAACGTAAAAATGAATAACATCATAATCCAAAATTTCTACAATTTTGTACTCCAAAAATGGAAAAATGGGACAATTATAGGGGGGCGGAGGGAGTAGTTAAGTATGTTACAACCAATGCAATCCGAAGAAAGGTTTATAACAGCCATATGCATGTAAGTGGTGAGAAGTTCAAAGTTTGGATAAACTGATCAGTGATTCAGTGTTCACCAACAACAATTAGCAATATTCACTCACAGCACACAAAGTTTCTGAAGAGGTATTCCAAGCTAAACCGCGAACAAAAAGCTTTCGAAGTGCAGGATCTGCGCTTGCAACATTTTTAATTTCTTCAGCAATTGAAGGATTTAGGGACCCTCTTCACGCCAGAACAACATGCAAACAAGCACACATAATGCATATTGTCAACCACACACCACAATCACACTCACATGTGTTGACTTAATCAAAGACCTAATGTAGCAACACCCTAAAATCAGTATTCCATAATTAATAGCTCGATAAGATGCCACAGTGAATGAGTAAAGCACAGACAAAAGAGTGTTTACATCCTAGAAAAAACAACTATGGATTGATAAAATAATCTCAAGAAGGATCATGATATTTGTAGGGTGACATTATGGATTGATGAAATAATCTCAAGGACTCTCGGTGGAATAAGTGAAGGTGATAAGAGAACATAAACATCAAGCTTGAATAATACAAGGAAAACTTACTATTACCCCTGTTAGGCCATAATTACTAGTTCAAGTTGAAAAAGTCAATTAGTGACCCCTTGATCCTTTTACTTTCCTCATTAGCCACCCCACCCATCCATCAACATTTAACTCATTTAACTTTATATAATTTTCCTATTGAAAGTTGTTTAAAATATATGCTCTTAAAAGTTAAAACAATCCATATGATTATAAAATAGTTGTCCATTTTGTTTTAACTACTCCGGAAGAAATGTTATCCAAATTAGCTGAGACAGATGAATTACTAATAGGATTTCTATTGACAGAGGAGAAATACTTCAAAAAATTAAGGGCGTATATTTGGACAGATTTCGACTGGCTTCTGTCAACTACATTTCTGCTGCAAGTATCTAAGAACGAAGAATGATCAACAATTATGTCAATTATGATGATGAATCTTTTTAACTTTTAAAAAGGGATATGACAATCTTGATAGAATTTGACTCAGGCAAAATTTGGTGTTAGGGGTAAATGAGAATAATAAAAGTGGCAATAATTAACTATTGAAAATAAAAGGTTTTACTACTGTAGTACTGTTATTAACAAGCATAACAGTCTGTAGTAACTTTCCCACAATATAATGAACTACATCGGATTCAAGACACTCTTATCTAGGACTCTGTGGAATATACATTCAAAACAAGACACTCTTTGGGTGAGGTGGGTCCTGGGTCCATGGGGTGTATCTTCATGGGAGGGATGTGTGGGCATTTGTTCCACACAATAGGTATTCACAACTCATGAAAAGGTTGGTGATAATTAGAATCCATTGTCTCTAAGTTCCCCTCCCTACCCGTAGCTTTGACTTACCTTGGAAAGTGTTCTTTTAATGGTAAACTTTCTTCCTCCAAGGTATATGACTTATTTAGGATTAAAGGGACTAGCCATACTTGGATGTCTTTCATTTGGAAACCGTATGTCCCTCCCAAGTTCTCGTTTATCATGTGGCTTACCTTTCGGAATAGGCTAGCAACTTATTTGATTAATGTTTGTCCTTTTTGTAAGGGTGGTCTACAAACGGTTTCACACCTATTCTTTGAATGTTGTATTACAGGACAGGTTTGGAAAGCTGTGAGAGAATGGCTAGGAATGAAGAGGCAAATAACATCACTAAGGAGTGCTGTAATGTAAAGTGGATTCAGAAGGAATGCAATGGGGCACACATTAGAGCCAAAGCCACACAGATAGCCTTTTGTTATACTACATATTGGATATGGAGGGGACGGAACTACTTACGTTTTGATGGAGCTACATGCAAGATGGAAGATATGATTACTCATATCAAGTACATGGTGTACAAAGTGTTGTATTCTCTGTCCTTTTCATATGATCACTTTTTGAAACTATAGCCGTCAGTCCGTCACCTATTTTGCTATGGGCTTCATAGGAATTTAGCTTTTTTTAGGTGATAGGACATCCTTGCTTGGGATAGCCTATATTTTTGTCATGTATATGATGTACAAAACTACTTTGGATGATTCTATATATATTTACATTCCATACAAAAAAAATGAACTAAGTCGGATACATGGATCCCATCATATTTCATAATCTCTTTTATTCCCAGTACATTTCCATTAAATTATAGTTAACCGATAAAGATAAACCTCAAAGAAAACAGCAAATGAACTAAGTGTATAGAAAATGCAGATAGGAGTAACGAAAAGTACTGAGCTTACACCCTAGCGAGAAGATCAACAAGCTGCGTTTTAGGTAAGGGGTCAAGAAGGGAGCGTAACTCTTCTAGTGAAACCACTGGAAGTATACCTCCTTCCTCTAGCTTTCTCTTCTTTGCTTCCTCCATATCCATCCACGCCAATCTGCCCCCGCTGGTTGGTGGTGTTAGGCTCTTACTAAAAACCTTATTTATTTACAGCCGTTTTGTGCCCTAACAATGTGGTGTCCATTGTTTGGATTTTTTTGAGAGAGAAATCCATTGTTTAGATTTAATTTTGCTTATTTGTAAAGAAAATAAATACAGAATTAGATTTTTCATTATGAAATAGAAAATGAGTTTAAAATATTCGGATAACTTTTTTTGTCGGATAACTTATTATTATAAGTTACTTTTTCTTTTGTAATTTACGAAAAGCACATAATTATTAATCTATATATTATTAACTCAATTAAGTGATTTCCCCGCCTAAAATTAACTCAATTAAGTGATTTTCCCGCCTAAAATCTTTTTTATGATGATAGGTTAGAGTTTTAACTTATATTTTCTTTTCATATCATAAATGTCTATTTCTATTTTTTGTGTTATTTGTTTTCAAATGTCACTTCAATTTTTCTCTTCATTCCAACTAACTCATATCAATTCCTATTCGGTGCCGAAGAAGGGGGAGCTTCGCAATGCTAAATGAAGGAGAGAGTTTATGCTCCACCGGCTTTAGGAGTAAGTTCTCATAATTTATATTCTTTAATCCCTTCCACATTGTCCACATTTCATATAGTTAAGAAAATATAGTCAAAGGTGTATGGTTAGTGATAAAACCCCATTTAGGCATTTAACATGTTTCTTTCTTTTTAAAACATTTTTTTGACATGTTCCGGGTCTTTCTTTTCATTTAAAAAAACATTTATTTTTTCAAACATGTAGAGTCTAGATTTTTTATTTGCATTTAGAAAGAGTTTTGAATACTTTCTAATTTCTTAACAGAGTTCATGGTCGCAGAGTTTCACATTTTATAAACCATTTATAAGGAATAGCCAAATATCTAGAGTGCTTGAGTATTTGAGTACTTACATTAATAGAAGGAACTGTTTTTATTTTTTTCTAGAGTCTCTGCCAATTTCTTTTTTCTCAAACATTGATTTCTTCATAAATCCAATTTTTCAAGTAATAATGATATGGATCGCGTACATTATGATTCACTTGTGAATTGATGCTCTTTTCTCACAATTTTCCTTTAATGCATTGATTCAGTTCCGATTCTCGCATGAAGTTCTTAATAGGATTAAATTTCCTATCTACATTTTCAACCATCTTCAGTTAAAGTTTCTTAATCCCTTGCTTGAGTTGTTTTCTTAAGATTTCAATTGAGAAACTTAGATTCTTCCCCAAATTTGGATTCCCATGAAAAAAAATGTTTGATAATGAAAGGTTAGGGTTTTAGTTCCTATTTTATTTCCATATCATATCTATCTATTTCTCTTTTTGTGTATTTGTCTTTATCCGTCACTTCAATTTTTCACTCCAAAATTTCTATTATATGCGTCTTCAGTTAAAGCTTTTAGTTTCACCCCATTCAACATTCTGCTGAAAACTATTGATTTAAAGTTAAATGACAAAACTGTGTGATTTTTTAGACGTGTACTCAACTGAATGTAGTCAAAGGTGTATGCTGGCACCCGCCAACCCTAACCGCGGTGAAGAAGATTTGGCAAAAGCGAATTAATTCTGGGAAAATAAACCATCATCAAGAGCTCGTTCACCCCACTTGGACTGTGATTTTCAAGGATTGAAATTTAATTGAAGACGTTAGCGATGATGCCCTCCATGGAAGATACTCCCTAATAATTATTGCATTTTCAATTGCTTCTTTAGATTTCTTTCATCCCAGCAGCATTAGGGTAATAGCCCTCTCTGTTTCCATTTTCAATTTCTGATTCAGGTTCCTGTTTCTTCATTCCTCTAACATAAGATTCATGGAATTCTAAGGATTATGACATCATTATGTTCAAGTACATTATTAATCATATTCCATCACATGATCATGTAGAGTACTTTCCTTACATCCCATGATTTATAGTCTTCTTGCGAAGGAATCAAACAGGGGATTTTATGGTATGATTGATTCCATCGATTGTATGCGCTACAGACTAATTGTTGTACATGAGACTATTGCTTCATACGATACATGGATATGATATGTGTTGGAAAATTAAATGTATTTCAAATAAATTAATTATTTTGTAATGTATGTAAAGTAACCGCGGATGTGGGTCTTGTAACGTGCAAATGCGGCTGACCAAGTTAACTTGGTGGAGCATTTTTATCTCCACTTTTCAAGGATCCCAAACCAACGTATTTTACTCATTCATTTTATATTAATTAATATATTGATATTATAAAGCCCAGCTGAAGCACGTAGCAATACAATGGAACACTTCCTTGAAACTATCTTCTTCGCAAATAATCTTACGAAGGCCTTCATAAAAAATGATTTCTTCTAAAAGCTTGTGCTGGATTATTATGTTGATGATTTCCCTCGTAGTTCTGGTTCTGACTTCAAGTCGAAGGGCTCGTTATATCCTGGGGGAAGATTTCCGTTCACCGGAAATACTTTCTGAGGACAGCGTTTACGCGTCTCGAGCCATTGATTCTCTTGTTAGCTTTCTTTGTAGGTGTATCATTGTGTTGGCAGTGCTAGAGTTGTGGACATGCGGCAGAACTCCTTCAAATATACGTGAAGACGGAATAAGCTGCTGCCATGCAAGAACTAAAGAGGATGATGCCCAGGAGACCCTAAGTCGTTGCAAAATGCCGGAAAGGAAGGAAGAAGCATCTCGCCGGAGTACTGTTGTGTTGCCGTTGTTCAAAACCGGACATCCAGGAGCAAGTGAAGAGGAAGGAATATCCCCAACAATCTCAGAAAGTATCTCCGTACAAGGCTTGCTATGTGACGTTATCCGGAAACTAATTGTTGGAAAGATAATCTTTAATAATCGCCTGGCCAAATGCTTCTGTGAATCTATTCTGCCAATTGTGGTAATTTCGTTAATTACCATTCTGCTTACATATTTAAATGCTCATTGCATGCCCATGTATGCCATTCCTTGTGTTCTTCAATTTTTGGGATTCTCCTTTGTTACCCTATTCACAATAAGCCTTATTTTAATCCCGCTTATCATAATATATGTCATTTTATGTGATAAAAAGACAACTATGAATAACAACAACCCACTTAAATCAAAATCAAAATTGATTAAAAGTGATGATATTTTTATTGCGGTTGTTTCTCAAAGTTGTAAAATAAATGATGTGAATGAATGGATGGTAGACTCCGGGGCTACCAAGCACATTTGTAAAAACAAAAGTGCTTTTACCTCCTATACTACTATGGGATATGATGAAGAGCTCGTGTACCTAGCGGACTCAAAAACCGCAAAGGTACATGGTAAAGGGAGAGTTCTTCTTAAACTCACATCGGGGAAAACTTTATCACTAAATGACGTACTCTATGTGCCTGAGATTCGAGCCAATTTAGTTTCGGTTTCTCTCTTGGTAAAAGCTGGGATTAAAGTATCTTTTGATTGTAACAAAATTGTTATGACGAAAAATGATGGTTTTGTGGGCAAAGGCTATTGTAAGAATGGATGTTACGTGCTTAGTATTCCAAAATTAATGTGTGACAATGCTTCTGCTTATTTGATTGATTCATATGATGTGTAGCATGCTAGATTAGGACATGTGAGTGATTCTTATATTAAATTGTTGCATGATCGTGGCTTGATTTCGAGTGGAAAGAAATTGACACTAGAAAAATGTGATATTTGTGTTGAATCAAAACAAACCAAAAAATCATGTCCTACCACACATAGAGAATCGGAATTGCTTGAATTAATTCACACGGATTTAGGTGATTTAAAAAATATCATGACTAGAGGTGGTAATAAATTTTATATCACCTTTATAGATGATTTTTGGAGATACACTAAAGTTTATTTGCTTAAAAGTAAAGATGAGGCTTTTGATAAATTTTTAGTGTATAAATTCGAGGTGGAAAATCAATTGAATAAGAAAATTAAGAGAGTGAGATCGGATAGAGGGGGAGAATATATTTTAATAAATGATTTTTGTGAGAGGGAAGGGATTATCCATGAGAAAAAATAGGACATTAAAAGAGATGATGAATGCTCTTTTAATTAGTTCTGGTGCGCCTGATAATCTGTGGGGGAGGCTATTCTTTCTGCTTGTCACTTACAAAACAGAATTCCTTATAAGCATAATAAGAGAACACCCTATGAATTGTGGAAAGATTATGCACCTAATTTGAAATATTTGAAAGTGTGGGGGTGTTTGGCTAAAGTATTGCCTGATCATAAGAAGAGGAAAATTGGTTCTAAGACATCTGATTGCATGTTTATTGGTTATGGTGACTCTAGTGCTGCTTATAGATTTCTTGTTTTGAAAAGTGATGTGCTTAATTGCAATACTATTATTGAAACAAAAAATGCTGAATTTTTTGAGAGTGTGTTTCCTTTAAAACCAGAATACAAGACCGTTGCACCGTATCGTGAAAGTGAGCCATTAAAAGAAAATGAAACTTTTAATGGTGAACCCTCTAATTTGAGAAGAAGTAAGAGGCCAAGAATAGAAAAATCTTTTGGAAATGATTTTTATACATATCTTGTTAATGATGAACCTTTTACTTATTCACAAGCTATTTCATCAAAAGAGACTCCTTTTTGGCTTGAGGCAATTCAAAATGAATTTGATTCTATCCAGAAAAATAAAACTTGGATTTTAACTGATTTGCCTAAAGGGTGCAAACCAATCGGATGTTAAATGGATTTTTAAAGGAAATTTAATCCGGATGGTTCAATTGACAAATATAAAGCGAGGCTTGTGGCAAAAGGATTTTCTCAAAAACAAGATGTTGATTATTTTGATACTTTTGCATCGGTAACGAGAATATCTTCCATCAGAACTTTAATTGCTTTGGCTTCTATTCACAAACTTCTTATCCATCACATGGATGTTAAAACAGCGTTTTTAAATGGTGAATCAGAGGAAGAAATTTATATGGTGCAACCGGAGGGTCATGTAGTTTCTGGACAGGAACACAAAGTACGTAAGTTGATCAAATCTTAGTATGGTTTGAAACAAGCTCCAAAACAATGGAATGAAAAATTTGATGAAGTATTATTTGCTCATGGTTTTACCTCACTGGGAGTAGATAAGTGTGTATACACTAAAATAAAAAATGGTGTGTGCAT